CTGAAAGAAGAACTAACATACACACTCAATTGGGTTGAGAAATCTGTCTTACCCTACAGGAAAGTAGGAGGAAAAGGGCAGAAGAGAAGAGGGGATGTGATGGAAGGGAGGGCAGATTGGGGCATGGAGTAGTCAGAAGCAAAACAGTTTTGAGGAGGGACAGGGTGAAAGGAGAGAAAGAATAGAATAAATGGGGGTGGGGGAGAATAGAATGGAGGGAAATACAGTTAGAAATAGCAACTGTGAAAAAAAAATTTGAATCAGATTTCTCTGATAATGGCCTCATTTCTCAGACATATATAGAACTGAATCAAATTTATGAAAATAAGAACCATTTCTGAATTGATAAATGATCAGAAGATATAATCAGTTTTCAGATGAAGTAATCAAAGCTATCTATAGACATGTGAAAAAAATATTCCAACTCACTATTGATTGGAGAAATGCAATTTAAGACAATTTTGAGGTGCTACCTTGTACCTATTAGACTGTCTAACAGGAAAAAAGCTACATGACAAATGTTGGAAGGGATATGGGAAAAATGATACATTAATGCACTGTTGGAGTTGTGAACTGATTCAGCCGCTCTGTAGAGCAATTTGGAACTATGCTCAAAGAGCTATAAGATCAGGCATACCCTTTGACCTAGCAATACCACTACTAGGTCTGTATCCCAAAAGAGATGAACAACAAAAATAAAAAGGACCTATATGTACAAAAATATTTATAGCAACTCTTTTCTGGGGGTAAATAAGTAGAAATTGAGAGTATGACTGACCATCAATTGGGGAATGGATGAACAAGTTGTGGTATGTGATTTTGATGGAATACTATTGTATTATAAGAAGTAATGAACTGGATGCTCTCAGCAAAACCTGGAAAGACTTGCATGGGCTGATGCAAAGAGAAATGTACTATGGACAAAGTGACAGCAACATTGTAAGATGATCAGCTGTGAATCACATAGCTGTTCTCAGCAATACAATGATCCATGACAACTCTAAAGGACTTATGATAAGTGCTGTCCATCTCCAGAGAAAGAACTGATGGTTTCTGAATACAGATTGATGCATACCTTTTTACTTTCTTTACTTATCTTGAGGTTTTTTTTTTTGTCTTATGTTTTCTTTCACAACATGACTGTTATGGTTATGTTTTGCATGATTACACATGTATAACCTATATCAAATTCCTTGTCTTCTTAATGAGAGGGAGATGGTAGGGAGGAAGGGAAAGAATTTGGAACTCAGTTTTAAAAACATGTTAAAAATTGTTTTTGCATGTAACTGGAGAAAAATAAAATGCTAAATTAAAAAAAAAGATCAAGAAAGAAGGGGTTAGTCCTGCCGGTCACATTGGCTCAGAGGTCAGGCTAACCTACTTTTCTGATAGGATGAATGAGCATTATAGATGAGCAGACTGCCTTCAGTAGAACTTACCTAGGATTCATCACCGAGTCTGTTAACACATCCTGTGCGTTTCTTGTGGCAAAGATGGAAAGACGTGGCCTATGTACACACAATAGTCTAATTAAATGAACTCAGGACTGGTTGAACAGCCAGATGCAGAAGGTAGAGACATTCATGGTTTGATGTCAGCTTGGAAGGAGGCCTCTGGTGGAGTGTCTCAGGGTTCTAATGGTTGGTCTTGTGCATTTCTACAGTTTTCAGTGAGAGAGAATCTCCAGGCTGTCCCTTCCCACTTTTGGACAGCTCTAATTGTTAAGAAGTTTCCCCCCAACATCACTAGTTCTGCCTTGGGGTTAAACAGAGCAAATCTAATCCCTTTTCCATAAGACAGCCCATCAAATATTTCAGTCAGTCATCAAGCACTTATTAAGCACTTACTGTATGCCAAGTACTGTGCTAAATATTGAGGATACAAAGAAAAGGGGAAAAACCAGTCCCTGCTCTTAAGGAACTCACAGTCAAATGAGGGAGACAACATGCCACCACTTGGTACAAACAAGCTCAATACAAGGTAGATAGGAGGTTGGGGGTCCAGTGGTTAGATAGAGTAGGAAAGAAGGCACTAGCAGTGAACATGGGGGAGAGCTTAGGAAAAGCCACCTTCTGTCCTCCAACCCTAAATTCCGCATTCTTTCAGTTGATCATTGTATGACATGGACTCAAAGCCCTTCACTCTTCTAATTTCCTTCCATGTCACAAATATCTTTCTGAAACCTTGACACCTGGACCTGAGCACAAGCTCTCATTGTGGCCCAAGATCCTTTTACCTCTGTGGAGGCCTTATTGCAGTGTTTGCTCAAATGAAGTTTGTAGCCCTCTTGAGTTCCTAATCCTATCTCCTCCAGTTTGCATATGTGAAGGACCTAAGTGTAAGGCCTGATATTTATTACTGTCTGCTTGGAAGAAGGTCCTCCACCCAGGATCCCTTCTGGTCAAGACCTTTATGGATCACAACTTTCACCCAATATCCCTTATCACCTTGTGGATCTTCCAGTGGATAAGCATATTGTCTTGTCTTCATTGCAGTTGTTAGAAATGTGAAACAGCACAGGGTGAACATGGCTCCTTGGGGCACTCCACCAAGGGACTGGCCTCCGAGCTGACGTGAAAAATGTGTGAGCTATGGTTATTCTTGCATCAGGCTTGTTGTCCAGTTCCCAATCCACATTTACTGTACTCCTACTTACTCTTTACCTCTCCAGCTTTCCTAAGAGGATGAGTTGAGACACTTCATCAGATGCTTGGCTAATATAAAGGATACTTGACAGCATTCCCTCATGTTCCATACCAGTTTACACACAGTAATCAAATGTCTGTTAGGAGTAAGGCATTGCCACTCATTTCTGGGTGTTGTGATTGGAATTTAAGAAAAGTGTAAACTGAGGCAGATCTCTGAGAAAGATAACATTTATTAGCAGGAGCATGCTACATGTCAAAAATGGGTCAATGGATTGCCACTGTTGGTGCTGAAGATCCTGAGCGAAAAAGACAGTTCTCCTCATACAGGTTTTGGGGAGTGTAGAACAAAGACCAACAGGCTAGATGACATCATGGAATTAAAGACAAGCTAGTTGGTTACAGAGCTGAGGTTCAGGGAGCATCAAGGTTGATTGAAAGTTTGGTAATGGAGGCTAGCAATGACCTTCCATTTTCTCTCATGAGACTAAGCTGTGCTTATTGTCTGAGTGCAGGTACAAGATAGAGGCCAGACTTTTGGACAGAAAGCCAAACATATTTGAATGATAGCTTGGTAGAGTAAAGATATCAAGCTCCCAAACTCCCTTTCTATTCACACACATTCTCCAAGGTCAGTTAAATTCCTTGAGCAGGAAAGCCAGATTTTTAAACTTAACCCATCGTAGCCTAGCTAAACTCTGGACTAAGTTTGGAGAAAAAACATTATTTAAGCAGTTATGGGACAAAATCAATTACTTGTGAGTAGATCAAAAATAAAATGATACAGGATCAATTTTAACCTCATGGGGGTTACAAGAGCACAAAGATAAAAACAGTGTCTGCCCCAAAGAGCTGATATGCTACCGTTTTGTGGTCCTAGCAACCACACCTCTCCCCTTTCCCCACCTGCTCTTGGGCAGATATAATGTTTGACCACTCACTATTTTAAATGAACAAATCAAAATATGTATCACTTTTTTTTAATTTTAGAAAATTAAGGGGGAAAAATCTTGAAGACTTCATAGGTATAATGTCTTAGCAAGAAGGCCAACACCATATAAACTCAATTATTGCACTGAGGCATTTGTGTGGTGCAGTGCATGAAGTGCCAGACCTGGAGGCAGGAAGAGCTGAGTTTAAAGCCAGCCTCAGACCCTGAACAAATCACTTTGCCTCTGTTTGCTTCAGTTTTCTCATCTGTAAAATGGGAATAATGCACTTGCCTCCCAGGATGGTTGTGAAGATCGAATGAGACAATATTTGTAAAGTACTTAGGGACTGGCACATAAAAAATGTTTATTCCCACCCTCACCCCCTGCATTGTCCACAATGCCTGGTGTCCCATATGCCCTAAAGCCTGGGTTGGTCACTGTTCTTAATTAGATGTTCTGCTACAAGGTTACATACAAATCTACTGGTTTCATTCCTACACTGGGTTACCTTTTCTCCAGTCATTTAGGTTGTTTCTCATCTTTTGTGATTATGGGTAACAGCAGTCCTTGGACTGATATCTCTCTCTCATGGTTGTTTTGATGACACAGACAGTGTATACCCCTACTAAGAGATTAATTAGGTTAAATCAAGTGTCTGAAGTAAGATCTGAACCCAGCCTCCCTTCCCATCACCAGTACAGTTAGCATCAACAGTCTTCTTTTCTTGAAAAGTGATGCTTGCTTGCCAGATTTTTTTTTCTAGATTAATTGTCCTTCTCCTTGATAGAGGAAACCAGACATAAAATGTACCATGAAGTAATTTACTTTTTCAAAGCACAGAGAATAGTAAATACTGATACTTTTTGTTTTTTGTTTCTTTCAGATTATCTTAGCCAGGAAATTAGGTATCAAACCAAGGACTCCCCTCCAAAGTGGGGCTTTTGTATAGGAGCATCACCCAATCACAGTCTCACAAGGGATGATCCCTGGGATTCCAAGATGGAAGAAGTTTGGGAATATCTTAATAGTGTAGAGGGGCAAAAGGGTACTCTCAAGAAACAATCTAGACAAATTAGAAACAGTCACCAAGAAAATTCTAATAAGGTAAGCATCCAAAGATGCAGTATGTTTGAGAGAAGTTATAGTCCAAGGTCATTGTTTGTGTCACAACAAAGAGTTCCTACAGGAAAAAGGTTCTATAAAGATGATACACTTGGAAAGAGCTTCAAACAATTTTCAGAACTAATTAAACAGCATAGAATTTCCTTTTGGAAAAAAATCTGTAGGTATAGTAAATGTAGAAAGACCTTCAGTTACCACTCAGACCTTATTCACTTTCATATGATACATACTGGAGACAAATCATGAGTGTACTGAATGTGGGAAAGCCTTGAATAAAAGATCATACTTTACTTATCATCAGAGACTTCATACTAGAGAAAACCGCTTTGAATGTAATGAATGTGAGAAATCCTTTAGTTGGAGGTCATCCCTAATTTATCATCAGAGAATTTATACTGGAGAGAAACCCTTTGAGTGTAGTGAATGTGGAAAGGTCTTCAGTCATAGAACATTATTTGTCATAAAAGAATTCATACTGGGGAGAAACCCTTCGAATGCAGTGAATGTGGAAAAGTCTTTAGCAAGAAATCACATCTTACTCAACATCAGAGAATTCATAGTGGAGAGAAAACTTTTGTGTGTAGAATGTAGGAAAGCCTTCATCCAGAGGAGACACCTTACCAAACACCAGAGAACCCATGCTGGAGAGAAGACTTTTGAATGTAATGAATGTGGGGAAGCCTTTAGCCAAAGGGAACACCTTACCATACATCAGAGAATGCACACCAGAGAGAAACCTTTTGAATGTATTGAATGTGGGAAAGCCTTCAGCCTGAGGGGGAACCTTACTCAACATCAGAATATTCACACTAGAGAGAAGCCTTATAAGTGTCATGAATGTGGAGAAGACTTCAGCCACAGGGCTTCCCTCATTCATCATCAGATAATCCACACTGGAGAAAAACCGTTTGAATGCAGTATTTGTGGAAAAGCCTTCGGTCTGAGGGGCTGCCTTAATAGACATCAGAGAATTCATACTGGAGAAAAGCCCTTTGACTGTAATAAATGTGGGAAAGCCTTCAGCCACAGGACATCCCTTACATATTATGAGTGAATTCATACTGGAGAGAAACCATTTGAATGTAGTGAATGAAAAGCCTTCAACCAGAGAGGCAACATTACTGAACATCAGAGAATTCATACTGGAGAGAAACCCTTTGAATGTAATGAATGTGGAAAAGCCTTCTGTCAGAGGGAAAACCTTACTGAACCCCGGAGAATTCATATTGGAGGAAAACTCTTTGAATGTGATGAATGTGGGAAGTCCTTCAGCCAGAGGGGAAGCCTTAATGAACACAAGAGGGTTCATACTGGATTGAAACCCTTTTAGTTTAATGAATGCAAGAGAGCCTATAACAACTCTTGCCTTAATATCAGATAATTCAAACTGAAGAAAAATTCTGTTAAGTGTAATGAATGTGAAAAAGTCTTCAACCTGAGGACAAACTTTAACATCAGAAAAATCCTTTAAATTTAATATCTGTGGGAAAGATTTCAGCCATGCCACATCCCTTATTTATTGTCATATAATTAATTCACACTTTAGAGAAATACTTTGAGTGTAATAAATGTGGGAACACTTTCAACCAGGAAACATAGGAGAGATAATTTATAATAGAAAATATTTGAACATAATGAATGTGGGATATCTTTCTTACATAACACATATTTTATCATGAGAGCAAACATAATGGAAATAGACATTTTAAATGTAATGAATGTGAGAAAGCCTTCAGCCAGAGGAGAAACCTTATTGAACGTAAGACAGTTCATAATGAAGAAAAATGTTTTGAGTGTAATGAATGGAGAAAACCTTTAGCCACAGGGGAAACCTTATTAAATAACACAGAATTCATACTAGAGCGTAAATGTGTGATGTGGGAATTTCTTCAGCTCTGAATCATTTTTAGTTTGTCATCACAAAAATATGTAAAAGGCATGACCATGAGAAAAGGCTTTAGGACCTTTAAGAAGTAACAAAAGAATTCAAACTGAAGAAAAAAAATCAGTGTAATGACTGGGCATACTTTGAGGCTGTAATTCCTCCCTGTAAAGACATCCAAGATTTCATGATGCCAATTAATAATGGAAATATAATACTATGGGAGAACTTTATAATTGTTTAATAGTGAAAAGAGAAGTCATTGTTTGTCATAAACTCTAGTATATTTGATGCTTTGAATGATAAAAATTAAGTACTTTTAATGTTCCTTATTTTTATATAGATTATCTGCCATCAAGTTACAGTAGAATTACCTGGGTGAGTTCAGAACATGTGCTGGGTCAGGCTCTAAAACAGTAAATAAACTGAAGATTGGAATTTTTTTTGAACTCTTGAATAAAACCATTGAAATAGTATGACATATACTATTGTAAATTGTGGGGATGTTTTTGCCTTTTACTCTCATACTGAACTTAGTAATCATTAGCAGAAATAGGCATTCATATACACAGACAAGGATAAAAAAAATTATAGGAATCTGTGAACTTATACTACAAAAGCTATTACTTTGTAATACTGGACAAAATAATAAAATCTGTTTAGAGGAACAAGAGGTCAGTCATTATAAGAGGAATAATTTAAAATAGGAGGAATGAAGGTGATCTAACATGACTAGATCTCAAGTTATATTATTGAGCAATAATTATTAAATATTTAATACTGGTTAAAATATACAAAAGTAAACCAGTGTAGCAAGCTAGACACATCAGACCTAGAAGGAAATGAACATAATATTCTGTTATTTGATAAACTCAGGAACACAAATTGCTTGGGGAAGGATTCCCTATTAACAAGAACTGATGGGGAACCTGGAAAGAAATTCAACAAAATAGCTTAAACGGTCACATTCTGAAAAATTAAGGAAAACTGGAGGATTTTTCCCAATTGTGGTTAATGGGGGGACATCATAATCAAACTGGGGATAGAAGAGAGATAACAGAAGACAAAGTAGACAGTTTTAATTGAGCAAAATCAGTGCAGCTAGAATAAGAAAAGCTGCTTAGTGTGTGGGGGGCTTACTTCAAATATCTCTGATAAGACTCATAAGTCTTATTATTTAAAGGCAGTTGACACAAATGTACACATGTACACACACATATACAATTGAATGCCATTTCCCAATAATAAAAAAGATACTTTAAACAAGAAATGTAACTTATCAACAATGAAGATTCTGCAGATTAATAATAACAAATGCAAACTAAAACAATGCTGAAATTTTACCATCCATCAATCTCGCAAATATGACAAAAGAGGGAAATAGTCAATGTTGAGAGGTCTACCAGAAATCATGTCTATTAATACCCTATTGTTGGAGCTTTGATTTGAACCAGGCATTTTGGAAAACAATTGGGAGTTATGCAAAAAAAAAGTGACAACTTTTCGTATCTCTTTACTCAGGATTCGTGTTACTGAGCATATACCCCAAAAAGATTACAGAGGGAAAGGTCCCATGTACACCAATACTTTTTTTGAGGTGACAGTGGGAAACAGTAGGTGCCCATTAGCTAAGAATTGTTGTTGAACAAATTGTTGTGTTTGAATGCAATGGAATGTTAGTTATTGCATCATTAAAAAATGAGCAGTATGTGGCATTCATAGAAACATAGGGAAACTTTTAGCTTAAAAAGAGTGAAAAAAGCACTATGAGGACAATATGTGCAATAACTACAATACTGTAAATGAAAGTAGTAAAAGATTCCATCAGTCCTCTTAAATTCAATGAACAGTCTTAGTTTTGGAAGTCAGATTATGAAGCACTTCCATGATGGAGTATTAGTATAGAATGTTTTGTATGTGATCAAATTTTTTTTCTTTTTGTTTTTGTTATAATTAAGGGTTCCCTCTTGGGGCATTGGGCAGGATGTGAAGAGAGGCATAATTGGAAAGGGGCCAGTGTAAACAAAATAGAAAATATCAGTGAAACATTTTAAAATCATTTTGACAAAAAAAGTTTGCTAAATTAAAAATGTGCAGAGTAATTTGTATCTGGTTTCTTGGATCCAATTATAATTACACAAATGGCTTCCAAATCTATGTTTTCAGCCCTAATTTTTCTCAAGTCCCAAATCTCTGTTTCCTGGACACCTCTGTCTAGTTGCTTGGCATGTATCTCCAACTACCACAGCCAAAATAAGACTGATTTTCCCCTGTAAAATTACTCATCCATATTTCTCAGTTTCTGTTTAGAACATAACCATATTTCCTGTAACCTAACTTTACAACTTTCAAGTCATCCTTGACTCTTCCTAGGATCTCTCTCTCCATATCCAATCAATTGCATGGTGGTTTTTTAAAAAACATTCATTTTAAAAAATTTTGAGTTCCTAATACTCCCCTTTCCTCCAGCCACACACCCCCTTGAGAAGGCAGGCAATATGAAACCCACTATATACATGAAGTCAATTTGCATAGTATTTTGGCAGCAGTTATATGTTTCAATCTCCACAGCGTCCCACATCTGTTCCTTTCCACTCATGTAGCCAACTGAGATAGTCTCAACTCTCATCGCTTCTTCCTTAGCCTATTGCAACACTTTATGAGTCTCATTGATCCCAGGCTTTGTCCTGCAAAACAGATCTGTTGCACTGCTGCCAAAATAACCTTACTAAAATATCAATGATCGTGTCACTCATCTGTTAGTGCTTTCACTCTGAGATTGATTACCTCCTGTTTACACTATATGTATCTTGTACCTAGGTACTTGTTGACATGTCTTTCTCATTAGGATGAGAACTTTTTGAGGGCAGAAATCATGTTTTTGCCTTTGTATTCTTAGTGCTTGGCCCAATGGCTAGCACAGAGTGAACACTTAATGGGTAATTATGAAATTGCTGCTTAAAACTCTTTGAGGGTTTCCTGTTGCTTCTGAAAGAAAATTCATTTTCCTTAGCCTGGTGTTCACAACCCTCCATAACTTGGCTTCCCTGACTTGTTTCATATCATTTCCCTTCATGTAATCTTTGTTCACATCAGTTTGTCCTAGCACAAGTCTGGTGGATTCTTTACTCTCTTGTTCTCAATATCTGGGCAGTTTTCTTTCATGAGTTCTTGAAATATAATATTCAGACTAGTTTTATGGTCATGACTTTCAAGTAGTCCAGTGATTCTTAAATTGTCTCTCCTTGATGTATTTTCTAGGTAATTTGTTTTTTAATATAAGATACATTAGATCTTTTTTCCCCCAATCTTTTGACTTTGTTTTAATATTCCTAATTGTCTTACTGTATCATTCTCTTCTATTTGGTTAATTATAATTTTCAGGGAATTTAGTTGGCTAAGGTTTTGTACTTCTTTTGTTGAGCTGCTACTTCTCTTTCCTGGTCAGTCTCCTGCAATGCTGGTTCTTTTCTAATTCATTTTTCTAGCCCTAAGGGCTTTCCTTTAAGGAGCTCAGGTACTAAAAGGGGACTCAAGAGAAAAAACAGGTCAACAGATAGTCTATACAGAGTAGATGGAAGGGACTCTGAGAAGGGAAGACACTAACAGTGAGAGGATTCACAGTGGGGACTGGGAAAGGCCATCAGCAAGCATTGACTGTCTACTGTGGCCAGCAGTGGCCTAGGTGCTGGGGATAAAAAGACCAAAATAAAAATCTCTTCTTTCAAGGATCTTCCATTTTATTAGGAAAAGAGAAATTGACTCCAGGTCCTGTCAGGATGGCCAAATCTAAGTAATTACTACTCTGATCAGTGTGCGGCCCAGGCAGCAGGGAGGAGAGCATGGGCCCAGTGTGATTACCCTATTCACGTACAGGCCTTGTGGAGAGGTTCTCCAGCCCCTGAGGTTGGAAGACATGTGCTGCCCAACTCACAGAAGGTTAGGTCCTGGTCCAGGAGGCTGGCAGCCCCACTGACATCAGCTCGTTCTCCCACCTTCTTGGTGAATCTGGGTTGATCACACCTGATCCACTCATGTGCCTCTCTGAGTCCTGGAAGTTTTTCTGTGGTAGCTGCACACAAGTTTCTAAGGCTTAGCAAGTCCTTGAGGCAGTAGGCTGTCTGTTTACCATGAAGGTTTGCCGAGAAGGGGGAGGAAGATGTCCAAACATATTTTTCTTTGGATTTTCCCTTGGAAGATGAGATGGAGGTGCAGAACCTCAGGCAGTGAAGCTCCTTAGAGCTCCTTGACACATGCATCTTCACCAACTAGGGACCATACCTCCTCACATCTTTCTCAGGGTTATAAATGGTACCTGGTTCCTGCAGCATGTCCCTTGCACAGGATCTGGACTCCAGATATGTTTGCTGCAGGGTCAAAAGCAGACCAGTGTCTGGGCATCTGTTCAGAGAAGGCACCTGTCAGATAAGAACGATTTCCTCATTGAAGTGTGACTCAAGCAGTGGCTGTGGACATCTTGGCTGCTCATAGGCTCAGAGTTTGGGGCACTGCTCATGACACGGGCCCCAATGTTCCTTCTGATGACCCTCTTTTTGTTCCTGCACATATCTTCTTCTTTAGGGAGGGAAGAAAAGTTCCCCTGCTTTGAGCAAATCAACCCATGAGTTCACAGAGATGGAGACCTGGTCATTGGTGGATTTTTCCCTCTATACTTGATGGCAGTGAAGAGTTTCACAGGAGCTGAGCATCCACACAAGGCTTGTAATCCACACCAGTAAGTGGATAGGCGCCTGGGCTTTCATTTTAGGAAAGAGATGAGGAAGCCTGATTATTCAGCCCCCAGCTCCTGGGGACTTTCCACTTCCTCTTATCTGTGACTCTTCTTGTAGCTTTCTCCTCCTTTAGTCTATCCTTAAAATCTATAGACAAGAAAAATCCTTTCACTCACTTAGGATGTAGGAGGAGCCACCATATTGTCATTTAAATCTTCCTTGTGGCCATTCTATTCCAAGGAGCAGGAAGATCCAGATCTTTATCTTATTATCTGGGACTAGGTCCATCTGTCTTCCCTGCTCTGCCACCTATGTTGAAGTCAGTGTGGAAGAGGATAAAGGAAGGTCCTTAGACCCTGGGAACCCAAGCAGGAGGCTAGCTAGCACTAAAAACAGCAGCTTTACTTTTCTGAGTGCTGGACTTCGAGTAAAGAAGATCTTAGTTCAAATCCAGCCTCAAGGCTTGATTCAGAGTGATAGTAATGATTATGATGATAATAATAGCCTTTGTATAGCACTTTAAGGTATTCTGTGTCCTTTATAATCCCTTAAACTTGCTGAGGCTGTTTCTTCCAGTGAAAAAAGGAATAATTATATTACCTATTTCCTAGGGGATTGTGACCATTAAATGACAATGTATATAAAGCTTTTTTGGTAACCCTGATGGGTCATGTAAATGTCACCTTAAAAAATACCATTTTTTTTTTCATTCTATCAGGAGAGATATTTTGTATGGGCACCAGTCACAGGGAATGTGCCATATCACTGGATGCAATCAAGCCCCAGGTGTCCTTTATTCTCCTGTTAGCATTTGTTGTTCTGCAGTGAACCTCCCCAGAAAAGTGGGCAGCTTTAGAATTTTGTGTGTGTGTGTGTGTGTGTGTGTGTGTGTGTGTGTGTGTGTGTGTGTGCGCGCGCGCGCGCGCTCTATCACTAATCTTTCTGTTAGGTTCCCCCAGGTCCTAGAACCACCCAAAGCATTCTTGTTTTGGGTTACCATACCCTTACTTAAAGTGGGCTCGTTCAAGCTTGTGTTTGAACTTGACCCAAATTTTATTGATATTGGTCTCAATCTATGTTCCTTTCTGGCACCTTTGGCCTCTGCCACTTTGCTTACCTTTGTGTGTGTGTTTGTGTGTCGGCACTCTTGTCTAAATCTTATAGGATGCTCTTCCTGGATGAAAAGCAGCCACACCTCCTTTCTGACTTGCTCTCTTCTACTGAATGACCTAATAAATCTCTTTCTAAAATTATTTCATATTCTGAGGTCTATTCTTGTGAGCATCACATTCAGTATCTCTCTTTATTCATTTGAATTTATTTAAATTTTAGAATTGAAGTTATTTATTCTTGGTGCATTTATTTAATTCCGTTTGACATTTCCTCAATTGTAAATAATATTTTATGATAAATTTAACATTAAATATCAGTACAACAATTAAAAATATTTCTTAATTACTTATATTTAAATAACCAAATCTCGGTGCCTCCTTAAAATGTCAAAACAAATTTTCAGTCACTTGTTCTAAGTTCCCATTAGGATTCATTCCTTATTCGTCCATTCATTCCCTGCCTCTTCTCTCCCCTCCCCCCCCTTATGGTTGTACATAGTATAATAAAGTTTGCTTTGTTCTTCTCATTCTACTTTTTTTTGGGGGGTTATTTTGTAATATTTTATGAGGCTATTTTGAGGTTTTTTTTGTACTTACTCATCTTTATTTTCTTAGGACGTTCAATTATCTGTAGTCTTTTGACTGGCGTGTGTGATTTTATTAGTAAAAGGATCTCTCAGTGAGGAAATTCCATGTATCAATGTAGATCAACAAAAGTTGTACAACTTTTAATCTTAGAAATTGCATTGGGACACTAAGAGGTGAGCTGATTTGCTCAGAGTCACACAGACAATGTGTTTCAAACAATATTTTCAGAGGCAGGATTGAGCTCAGACTGTCATGATTTGGAAGCCATCTCTCTAGCTACTGTGCCAGCAGCATCAAGCTCACAGCACAGGCCACATGCACTTCAAAGTACTTCCAGGCACCATACAAACTAGATTAAAATGTATTGGAGAAATATTTAATAAAATAAATAAAATATAACAAAACATAGATGATATTCATATGTGGCTAAATCAATATGCACCTTGCATATTGACCTTATATATGCTTTAGTGGCCCCCATTTGTAACTGAGTTTGATAGCACTCTATGATACCAGGCTGCTCTATTCCATTAAAATACTCCCAATTTATTTAACTATGTGCTAACATTTAAATGGATTCTAGGGTTCCCCCCCAATATGAATAACATTGCTATAAAAATCTCTGAACAGATCAGTCTTTTTTTTTTTTGGTAACATTCTCTGAGTATGTTCTAAACAATAGAATTTTGGTCAAGAATATAGCATTTTTGCTAATTTTGCTGTATCCTAATAGCTCTATTTTCCAAAATGATTCTGCTAGTTTGAAATTCTTCCAGCAGTGAGTGAATGTGCCTGTTATTCCACAACCTTGCCAGGATTGATCTTCCTTGTTTTTTATTTGTTTTATTCCAAATTGCTGGGAATAAAGTGGTATATCAGAGTATGATATGGGTTTCAAAGAGGGTAATACAATCTTAGGACACATTAAGAGAGTTATGGTATCCTGGAGTGGGAAAGTGATGGTCTGAATATATTGTGACATAGTCACATTGAATTTGAAATATGATGTTTAGGTTGGGATGCTACAATAGAATAAGGGTATGGATTAGCTGGAGAGTTTCCTGAGGAGGACAACTGGGATAGAAAAGGGTCTCAAGACCATTTTTATAAAAGTTCTGAAAGACTGTCACGTGTATGAGGGGTCTAATTTATTCTTTTTGGTTCCAAAGGGGAATAGGTAGAAGTAGTACAAAATGGAGGCCTGGGTAAGGAAAAACTTTCAAACAATTAGGCATGTGCAAGGTACCTCAGAAAATGAAGAGTTCCTACGAAATGGAGGCCTTCAAGCAAATTCTGGATGATCACTCATTAAGTATGTTGTAGAGGATATTTGTTTACATGTGAGTTGTACTAGATGGTCTCTGATGTCCCTTTTGGCCCTGAGATTCTCAGATTCTGGATATTGACATTCCAGATTTAAAAAACAAACTTGTATTATGTATTTTAGATTAACCTCTTAACTTTAATCTATTTTTAAAAGTAAATGTTTCCTATAAGCAACGTGTTGATATATAGCATTTCATAATCCATTCAGTAACTTTTTGTTTTAGCCAGGGAATTTAAACCATTCACATTTATCATGATAATAGTATTTTTTATGTTTCTTCTTTTTTTTGTTTTTGTGTGACCTACCTAGATTCAGTCTCTCTTAATATTTCTTGTTTAGACTACTGAAATTGATCAATGAAAAAATTGTATTTCCTTTAAAAAAGTTTTAATTCTTATAGTTTTTGAATCTTAACATACTTTTTAATAATAACAGATAGAGAATGTGTATCCTCCGTGGGGCAGGAGTAGGGTCATCTTAACTTCCTCCTTGACTTGGTACTTTATTCATTCTAAGCATCCTGAGTTCTAAGGTAATTCAAGGATGTGTCTAGGTGTTTCCTTACCAGTTACAATGACTACCTCTTTCTCATTAATTAACCAATCAGATCTGAGCCCCTAGCCCAGTTTATTAAATGTTATTAATCATATGGTTTTTTTTTTTTTATAGAGAATGTATTCTGCATGGGTTGGGAGGAGGGTCACCTTAACTTGCACCTTGACTTGGTACCGTATTCCTTCTAAGCATCCCGAGTTCTAAGGTAATTGAAGGGTCTTTGGGCTCGCTAGCTTTATCTCATTTTTTTCCTTTTTTGTTGTCGCTCCCCATCCATATTAAATATATTTGTATTATGTTTACATGAATATTTACCTTAATGTTTAGAGAAAGTAGAGGAATAAGAGACGCAGACAAGTAGTGTGGATTTTTAATAGAGTGCTAGACATGGAATTAGGAAGACTTAGATTCCAATCCCACCTCTGACACTAGCTGACACTTAGGGTCACTCTGAACAGCAGGGGACTCCTCCAGACTACAAGTTCTAGGAGTTTGTGAGCTATGCCTGACAATGATGAAATCCCAGGCCCTTCACCTTGACATCTCCTGCTCTCTCTCTGTTACTTCCTGTTCCCTACCCCTTGCCCAAAGTCTGTTCAGGTTACCTGTTCTTTGATCAATGGAAGACAAAGAAATTACTTATAAGGTGACCAAGTGGGCTGTTCTTCCTAGCTCAGTGACCAGTTCTCTTTGCTGCACTCCCCAGTGTCAGATGTGGGATGCATGTAGGGAACAAGAAAAAGCCTTTGGACATGGAAATCCTGTTAGCAAGGGGCCATGAACTGTAAGGGGACAGGATTCATAGTCAGCTCCAGGGAAGTGCCCCAGTCAAGTGGATCATGGGGAGCTCCAATGATGGCTCCAATTATATGTTTTTAGGCACAGACAATCTACAGGTTTCTGGAGCCTTCTGAAAGGAGCCCATCCCTGGGTTTGAGTTTTTAGAGGGATGGCTCATCCTTAGACTGAGATGAGCCCACAAAAGTTGTGGGTGACACAGGCTAGGTGCCAGTAGGTGCCAACGGCAGTGGCCGTGGTGCTGATGTGACAGCCTGGGAAGCCCTAGGGCATCCGGTATGGACCAGAAGGAGTTCCGGTGACAGAATTCTGTCTACATTGAGGAGTCAGTGAGAAGCATGTAGGCCAGAATGAACTGCTTCTTACTGGCTTTCTCCAAGAGACTATACTATAGAACCTGGGAAGGGTTGAGTTCATAGAATTCTGGGTTATGCTGCCTTATACAGGAAGCCTTGCTGTCTTTCTAGTGGCTCTCAAGGTCTAGAGGTGAGGAAAGGAAGTTGGTGTCTTTTCACATTGATGTCCTCTTGCCCATTAAATATCTTCAATGTGACTATTTCCAGCACCCATACACCTTCAGTCAATGGCTCCCTGGAACTCTGGGTCTCATTCCCACACAAAAGTATGCCTCTGCATTCCCCTTTGTCTAGGCTCAGTTAACAATGCATAGGATATTTCTCTGGCCCCTCCCTGGATCAGAGAAGGCAGGAAGAAGGATTGAGGGAGAGACAAAGTAGGATGGGCTTAGGCCAAGATTCCTCATTTTTAAAAGCTACAGTAAAGATTGGCCTGACTTGGTTTAGCCACTAGCCAAACCTATTATGAAGGGTTAGAAGTAAGAAGTGCCCTGTTCAAACCAGAGGTCCAACAAATATCTATTACATGCCTTCTACATGTCAGGCACTGTACTAAGTTTTGGAGATACAAAGAATGGCCAAAAATATGGTCCTTGTCCTAAAGAAGCTGCCATTCTAATGTGGGAGCCATTGTAACATAAATACAAGACATAAATGCTGTAGTGGGAGATAATCTCAGAGAGAAGTTATTAACCATGAGGGGACTGGCAAGGCCTCTTGTAGATGGAGGGATCTGAGCCTAGTCATGGAGGAAGGCAGAGAAGTAACGAGATAGAGCGGAGAAGGCAAAGCATTCCAGGGATTGAACCTTAGTAAGAATTCTGGAGAAATCCCCTCTCCATCACCCATACTCCAAAATTCAGGTTGGTTAACCCTTCAGGGTTGTAGGTCATGTGAAAAAGAAATGTTGTAATCTCCAGACTAGGCGGCCTGTCATCCGGGCTCTGCCTCTGGCATGGCGAGGTGGCTGTCCTTGAAGCCTATGAGCTCTCTAGGATTTGTTATTAGCTTCTGCTCTTCTCCCCACTCCCTGCAGGTGGCTGCACAAAAATTACCAGCAGGTCCTGGCCCTGATGTTTGCTGTGGAGGAGATCAACAGAAACCCCCGGCTGCTCCCTAATACTACCCTGGGATTTCCCATCTACAACACCTACCATAGTGATGCCAGGACCTTGGAGAGCTCCCTGAGGCGGCTCTCAGGACAGGGCCAGACCACCCCGAATTATAGTTGTGAGAGGCAGGACAAGTCCATGGCTGTTATTGGAGGAGCCACATCTGCTATTTCTGTCCAGATGGGGATCCTTTTAGAGCTCTACAGATTCCCACAGGTAGGGAACCTTACCAGAGGTGGGAAACCTGTGGTCTCAAGGCCACATGTGGCCTTTTGGGTCCTTGGGGGTGGCCTTTTGACTGAGTCTAAATTTTACAAACGAATCCTTTTATGAAGGGGATTTGTCCTGTGAGGTTTGGATTCAGTTGAAGAGCTGCACTTGAGGACCTAGAGGGCCACATGTGGCTTTGAGGCTGCAGGTTCCTCACCCCTGGCCTTGACCTACTACCTTTTGCTCCTTTCTTTGAGGTGAAGTGACTTATCTAAGGTCATACAAGATAGAAGGGAGAAAGGATAGTATTTATTAAGTGCCTACTATGTGCCACACACTGTGTGGAGGGCTTTACAAATATGACAGCATTTGACCCTTAGAACCACCCTCGGAGGTAGTATTAATCTCCCTTTTGCAATTGAAGAAATTGTAGCAGAGAGAAGTTAAGTAACTTGCCCAGGGTCACACAGCTAGTAAGGCTAGACTGAGGCTAGATTTGAACTAAGGTCTTCTTGACCCCAGGCCCAGCACTCTCTATACCAGGGGTTGGGAATCCGCAGGCCTTGTGGCCATGTGTGGCCTTCTAGTCCCTCAGGTGCGGCCCTTTGACTGAATCCAAATTTCATAGAACGAACTCCTTTAATAAAAGGATTTGTTCTGTAAAATTGGACTCAGAAGGCTTCACCAAAGAATCTAGAGGGCCACACATGGCCTCGAGCTTGCAGGTTCCCTACCCCTGCTCTGGACTATGCCACCCGGATGCCACACAGCTATTAAGTATTCAGGTAGGATTTGAACTGAGACTTTTCTTACTCTGAGTCCAACACTCTGAAATAGCTAGAATGAAATTCATACCTCAATATGTCATGGGTATGACTGGCAGTGCCCCACTTCCCTCCCATCCCAGATCAGAATGTCACTGGAATTCAGCAGTTATTATGGCCAAGAAAATTCCTCACCTGGTGGCCAGCTTTTTGGTCCAATTTGTTGCCATTCTGTCAGGCTTCTTGCCAGGCCTTGTCTTTCCCCTCGAACATTGCTGGCCTGTTCTTGACAACCCTAGGGTCTCTTTTACATCATAACACCGTGAGACTGGGGGAAATATGAGTTTATAAAACAGATTAAAATTATTTACTTGTTAGACCTGCAAGAGTTTTCACAAACAATGTAACCCGATGGTCTAATTTGAAAGACAGCAAAAGCTGGGGTCCAGAGAATTTAAATGTCTTGTGTGAACATTTACTTTTAGTGTTAGAGCTTGGGTTGCAGGGAATGTTTGCACCAACTATTCTTATTATATAACCTTATGAAATAACTATTTCTAAAAGATTATTATATCTGGCTGGCTAATTGATATCAACTAATAATCTGTACTGGGGAGATTCGTGCTAGGAATTAATGAGCAATAGTGTTAGAAAGACATACCCAACTCCTAGAAGCCTGAGGCCAGAATTATCCACTTGTCCTCTGGCACCCTGGCCTGCCAGCATGAATAGGAATTGGGAGAGTGAGCTTAGGACCTGGGCAATGGATTGGTTGCATGACTTTGGGTAAATCACTTAAACTGTCGGTGCTCTCGGTAATTCTAAACCTAGGTGTTGCAGAGAAGGTGCTGACCTGCATTAGTAGAAAGAGTTTCTTTACCCCAAAGATTAAACTGGTCTGATCCTTCTGCCTACAAATTGTATTATTTCAAAATCAGTCATCAGCGCTGCAAACGTAAGTGAAATAATTATTTTGATTATTATTAAAAATAAGAGCTAGCAGTTAAACAGTACTTTAAGTTTCACAAAGCAATTTAGAAATATTATCTTATTTGAGCCATACAACAACCTTGGAAATTAAATGCTATTACTATGCCCATTTTTCAGTTGAGGCAGACAGTGGTTAAATGACTTGCCCAGGGACAAACAGCTAGTAAGTGCCTATCACTGGATTTGAATTTAAATCTTCCTGACTCTAGGCCTAGGGTTCTGTCTGATACCTACCTGCTTCATATACATAAGCCTATATCTGTTCACCAGGCACTTTGATCTTAGCAACACCACTGTTGAGGCATACCACTTCGCTTGAAGAAAGCATCACCTCTTAACAACCACCATCTCCAACATATTGTAATAATGTGTCAGTTTTACCCAAGAAATTTCCTTGGGGCCACAAACAAGGACAGTGTGTCAGGAGAAATCCTGAGCTATTAGGAAAAGAGGTCATGGAGGGTTTAGGGAAGAGAAGATTCAAAACCAGTAGCATCAGTGTATTCTGTCATCTAGCCATTGTATTTCAGCTGATTTAATCTTGAGGTGATCAGAATTCTGCCCACTACCTTCATCTAGAGCAGCCCACTTTATTTTTTTCACTAATGACGCTAGGTAGTTTGGGTATTATATTGAGATTTGTTGCTATGCCCCAGTATCACTTTCATATAGCCCAATGAGACCCATCTTTCTTTCCCATCCAGATAAGCTATGGCCCATTTGATCTTGCCCTGAGTGACAAGGCCCAGTTTCCTTCCCTCTACCAGATGGCCCATCAGGACTTCTCCTTGCAACTGGGCATTGTCCAGCTGCTGTTACATTTTGACTGGAATTGGGTGGGACTGGTTGTCCCAGATGACATGAGAGGTGAGAAGTTTCTCTGGGACATGGAAGGAGAGATGAGAAGGAGCGAAGCCTGTGTGGCCTTCACGGAGAAGATCCCTGTCAGTGAGAGGCGCCATGCTGAACCCCAGATGTCTTTCATGCCCAGAATTGTGGCATCACCAGTCAAGCTGATCATCATCCATGGTGATACAGACCCACTGATGATCCTGAGATATTCACAGCCACCATTGTTTGTAATTTGGAAGGTTTGGATTATCACGTCACACTGGGATGTTACCATGAGACTCTACAATCACAATGGTGTTGCTTTTCATGGAGCTCTCATATTTTCACATCAGACAAATGAGATTCCTGGTTTCAAAGCACTTCTCGGAACAGTCAGCCCAGCCACATACCCAGGAGACATTTTCCTTAAGGGTTTCTGGGTCTCAGCATTTGAGTGCCCAGATGAGCCGACCAAACTGGAGCAGGAAGACTGTTCACTGAACGCTTCATTGGAGACGCTGCCCTTGCACTATTTTGACACGACCACGTCCAGCCTCAGTTACTTCCTCTATAATGCTGTGTATGCCATAGCCTGGGCCCTTCGTGAAATGTTCCAAGCTAGATCAGAAATGGGATCTGTGGGAGATGAAGGGTACCTGGTGCCACAACCCTGGCAGGTAATGTTCCCTCCTCCTGTTGTTCCTGGCATCCCCAGGCTCACAAGTGAGCATTCCTGGGTTTGCTACATCTTTGTCCCTGGCGTTTCCCTTACCTTTCCTTGGCAACCCTCGGACTCACAGATGGACATTCCTTGTTTTACCTAATTTTCTTAGTTTGGCTTCCTTTAGAAACCCTAAGAGTCTGCTCTCTAATGGCTAAGGACTTCCCCAAAAGAGCAAAACATTATATTTGACCTTTCCTTTCTGAAGGGCTGAAAAAAAGGTTTTCTGAACCCTGGTGTGTAGGAGGGTGCTCCGAACCCAAGGAAGAATAAATGTCAAGCTGATGGTTAAAGGACAGCGACCAGATTGTTAGACGGAGGAACATAATGAAACCTAACTGTCCTCCTTACAAAGTATGAGCTCCATTCTCTCAGGTGAATTATCTTTCTTCTCATTCTATGAGATGGAGGACGGGAGCCTTATACACAAACCCTTCTCAATGCCGACCAATGATTGAAATAAAATACAGACTGATGCAAAATCATCCATCTTTGTGAGAAGTAACAGTAGGGAGGCAGAGCCAAGATGGTGGAATAAAGGCAAGGACTCACCTGAGCTCTCCCCAAACCCCTCCAAATACCTTCAAAAAAATGATTCTAAACAAATTCTAGAGCAGCAGAACCCACAAAAAGATGGAGGGAAACACATTTCCAGCCCAAGACAACTTGGAAAGTTGGCAGGAAATGGTCTGTTGCATCAGGCTGAGAGAGGAGTTCAGTTCAGCACAGGCCACACCAGCACAGCCCTGGCCCCAGCAAAGCAGGAGCAGGACTCAGGACAACTGAATCACTCACTGCAGAGGTGGTTTCCAGACCTCTCAGCTTACAGATGCCAAAACAACCTAGAAGGTCAGCAGGAAAGGTCCATTGCATCTGGGTGAGAGTGGAGCTCAGTCCAGCACAGGCCTCACCAGCACAGCCCTGGCCCCAGCAAAGCAGGAGCAGACCTTAGGAGTAACTGAGTCAACAGTGGCAGGGGCAGTGGCTGCTTTTGGGGCTCTCAGCTCACAGACAGTAAAGGAGAGGAACAACTGGTCAGAAGGAGATTGTGGAGAGGGAGGTTTGCTAGCACTAAGGCAGGACTCTGTTGCTTTGTCCATAGTCAGATCTGGGTCCTGGGTAGCAGTCCCAGGGTGAGGAGGAGCACTAGCATAGCACAGCTTGCAGCCGTAGCAGAGGAGGAACACGCCTCACAGCTCTAGGGCAGAAAAGAGTGCTTGTGGTCACTCACAGGCCAGAGCACAGGCCAGGAGAGGAGTAAACACCTGTCCTTAGATCATACCACCTTAGAAGGACTGAAAACTGACAGGTCCCTAGAAGTATCTCTGAAAACAGCTGCACAAACCCCCTGAAACTTGAGATAGTGCACCCTGAACCCTGAAAGCAGAGCCCTACTTTAATAAAGACTTAAAAGTCAACTAATAATCTGAGGAAAAGAGCAAACAATGGAAAAAACTCTGCCTATTGAAAGTTACTATGGTGACAAGGAAGATCAAAACCCACTATCAGAAGAAGACAACAAAGTCAAGGTCCTGCATCCAAAGTCTCCAAGAAAAATATGATTGGTCTCAGGCCATGCAAGAGCTCAAAAAAATTGAAAAGCAAGTAAGAGAGGTAGAGGAAAAATTGGGAAGAGAAATAAGAGTGATGCAAGAATATAATGAAAAATGAGTCAGCAGCTTGCTAAAGGAGATATAAAAAACATACTGAAGAAAATAACACCTTAAAAAACAGACTAGGCCAAATAAAGAGGTCCAAAAAGCCAAGGAGGAGAAGAATGCCTTAAAATTCAGAACTGGACAAATAGAAAAGGAAGTACAAAACGTTACTGAAGAAAGTAATTCCTTGAAAATTAGAATGGTGCAAATGGAAGCTAATGACTTTATGGGAAATCAAGATATGGCAAAACAAAGACAAAAGAATGAAAAAATAAAATACAATGTGAAATATCTCATTGGAAAAACAGCTGACCTAAAAAATAGATCCAGGAGAGAGAATTTAAAAATTGGACTACCTGAAAGCCACCATCAATAAAAGAGCCATTCGTTCTTCCTTCCTTCTTTCCTTTCTTCCTTCCCCTCCCCCTTTCCTTCTCGCCTTCTTTCCCCTTCTTCTCTCCCTCCCTCTTTCTCTCCCTGATTCCTTTCCTTTCCCCCTCCCTCTCTCCTTCCTTCCTTCTTTCTTTCCTTCCCTCCTATTCTTGATCTTGATCTCAAAGGCTGTATTAGTATTAAACAAGCTCTAGCTAATTGTACCAAGCACAAGGTCTTCACATGTAGAAGCAGTAGAAGTGACCAACTATGTATCTGCCATCCAGTCTAGCTAAGTATTCAGAGTCTCATTAGCAGGAGGCACATGTGCATATGATGCTGTTTGGGGCCATGGCAGCTTCTAGTGTGCTCAGCCAGGTGGTGGTTATCATCTCTGTCAGTGCAAAGAATGCCAATACTAATAAATAGAATAAATGCAACTCAAAAAGGCTAGGTCCCTGTTCTAGGGGGTAAAAGGCCTCCTTATACCACTAGATGGGTACCTTTTTCACGAATGCCAACCCTTGCATAAGCATCTATAGACAGAATAGCTGGTTCTCCATATCCCATCAACAGCAGAAGTCTAATGAGCTCAGAGGCAAACACTGTTTATAGGAGTGAGAGCCAGGACTGCCTGATAGTAATTGATGTAGGGGTGAGCACTGGGAAATAGAGATGATCAGAGACTTAGAATGAGAAACGTTCAGCTAGGTTCACCTTTACCCATTCACCTGGGCCCCACTTGTATTGCCAAATGAATGTGTGATTGAATGATTCCTATTGGGATGGGATTTAATTTAATTAAATTGAAACTTTAAAATAATACTAGCAGTAGCAGTAGCAGCTAACATTTACATACCCTTCTAAGATTTGCAAAGTATTTTACATAGGTTATGTCCCAGAACTCCTTTTCGAGCATTTAGTGTGTTCAAGGCAGCATGAAAGGGATCGTAGCAAGTCCATTTTCCACCAGTCTTTGAGTTTCCTTCTTATATGAATCCTAGCAGAGAGTAGGACATTTTTTTTTAACAATTCTGTAACAATAATACAATCTTCAGGCCTTCAAATTTCCACATCTCCAGTGCTTCATTGTCTAAAGAATGTGCTTAGAAAATGTGTGAGTGAAGGAATGATTGAGGGAATGCATGTATGAATATACCACTAGGTTTCCCGTCTGGCCCACTGAACTTCGTCCTGTTTCTCCCTATCTGTGGACATGAAATAGTGACTCAGTTCTTTCCCCATCTAGCTTCGCTCATCTTTGAAGAATATTCACTTTAACAACACTGCTGGGAACCAGGTGGTTTTGGATGAGGAAAAGAATCCTGTGGCTAAATATGATATCATGAACCTTGGGATGCTGGCTACTTATGATGAAGTTCTGGTGAAAGGGGGGCAGTTTGACCCCCAGGCTCCACTTGGTCAAGATTTCACCATTTGTGAGAAGGAGATACATTATAAACAGGGTTGATTTGAAGGTCAGTACAAAAACAAAATGCCATTTTATGTTTCCAACTACTTTAAGCCCATTTAGGTCATCATTCATTCATTCACCTCACCCTACCCAACCCCAGCTGTTTATTTCTTTGCCTTCATAGCAAACACTGGGAAGACAAATGAACAATTCAAATAATAACAAACCAAGTAGATTTGTTAATATCAGGGATAGTTAGCAAATAGCATTAGTATAAAGAGCACAAGAGCAACAGTAATTGAGGCAGTCCTGGGAGAGGATAGAGAGCTGCCATAGGTAGCAGAAAGACGGATTCAATTTCTGCCTCTGAAATAGACTGGCACTGTGACTAGAGGTAAGTCACTTCAGTTCTCAGTGCTCCAGACAACCCTAAGTCTGTTGGGCTGCTTCCAGTCTGCATAGGCAGAGGGAATTTCTTCATTAGGATTTCCTATAATAATGAAATCACAGATTTGGTCCACTCATTTCCCCCCTCCTCAACTTGTACGATATTGGTGCTGTGCAAGGCCAATGACCCCAAGCCAGGTGTAGATATTTTGGAGTCATTCTCTTTTTCTGGGGTTGTATGTTGAGTTTTCCTGGTACCATAATAGTTTTTTTAGCGGTGAGATTATTTTATTTTCTTGCTTACTCTTCTAGCCTACCTTCTGAATTTGGACTTGATTTCAGGGCTTGGCTCCTCACAATTCTGGGGAGGAAGTCTTGTCTGGTGCTATTGCTGCTTTCTTGGGGTAGAGTGTTGTGTTATGCGAGGATCACAGGGAGAACTCAGCTTGGGGACCAGTGGGCTTTCAAAGCTCCCAAAGTAACTTTATCCAAGGCTGATTGCTGCTCCTATGGTCTGAGGTGTGGAAGTCCCCTATCTGAGTTTGACTGAAGTTTAACATAGCCACAATCAGCCAGCTAGGAAACTGTTGATTCTGAGTTCTACAGGCTCCCCTTTGGCCTAGGGTTGTTGCCCTGGTTATTCTTCTACAGGCTACAGACTGGGCTAGAAACTGAGACTATGACCATGATTTGTTCCTGGGGTTGCATTGCTGCCAAAATTATTTCCCTGAAATTGTGACCAATGGAATCTCCTTACCCTGGAATGCCAACCCTGGGATGTATGCTTCCTTCTGTACGCCACCCTGGAGCTGTGACTTAGAACTCAGTAGTTGGTGACAAAGGTGACAGTTGGCACCTATTCCTACACAGGGCTCCCTTAGGGGTTTGGGGTGCCTTGGTATAGGCCTGGGAATTCCTCTTGCCCTGGTACCCAGAATTTCCCTACACAATGCTCCACATTGTATACTCCTGACTAGATCTCATTCCCAATGTCTGCTGGCTTACTGTTCATTGCCTTATGCCAATGTCAGCTAGAAAAAAAAAATGATTCACTGTGATTTTTTCTTGAATTGCACCTTCAAGATTCAGTCTGGAAAAGGGGAATAAATAGAGGTCAGTTGTATTGTTTCTTGCTACTTCTCCACCTTCTATATTTTTTCTTATAGTACTGTAATATTCCATTATGTTAATGTGCCAAAAATCACTTAGCTATTTCCCATTCAATAGGAATCTATCTATCTACTTTGTTTTTAATTATTTGATACCACAAAAAACCGTTTCTAGAAATCTTTTGGTGTATATTAAGACTTCTTATCAATGGCCTCCTTGGGGTATTAGCCTAGTAATAGGATCTCTAGGTCAGAGAGTATGGAGATTTTAGTCACTTTATTCATATAATTCTAAATTGTTTTCCAAAATGATTTATTCCCAGCTCTACCAACAATGCATTAGTGTGCCTATTCTCCCACAACCTCTCCAACATTGACTATTCCCATCTTTTATCACCCTTGCCAATTTATAGGGGGTGAGATGAACCTCAGGGTTGTTTTGATTTGTATTTTTTTCATTATTAATGATTTGGGGCATTTTTTCATGTTAGCATGAAAATAGTCTGCAATTCTTTTAAAGAACTGATTGTTCTTATCCTTTGACCACTCATCTACTGGGAAAAGAGGGGTTTTTTTGTATGTATATGTATGTGTGTGTGTGTGTATGTGTGTGTGCATTAATAAATTCTTCGTGCATGTGTATATGTATTTATTTTATATGTGTGTTTATTTTGTTATGTATGTCACATATACATTATACACACACACACAACACACACACACATATTCTCTCTTTGGTAGACATACGATGCTCAAATTTCTAAGTACAAGGAGCACAGGATTCTGTCCTAGATACAAGTCATGATTAGGCTAATATTTGTGGCTTCTTGTCAGTTTTTATGGCTCTAGCCAAGGGCATTTAGAAGTTACATCTAAGTTCTGATTGGTAATTTATTATCTAATCTTATGACGAAAGGAAACCATACAAGTTAACATCATTAGCAATTGTTTATCAGTTGTTGATAACATTTGCAACACATGTGTTATTAAGACGTACTTAACAGTTTTGGGAGACACACATCCAAACCGATAAGCATTTATTAAGCAACTCTTATGTGCCGAGCACTGTGCTAAGAGCTGGGGATACAATTAATCAAAAGAAAGACAGTCATTAGTAGTTGTTTACCAGATTGGGAAGGGATATACACATATCATTGCCAAACTATGCCCATCAGCTGCTTATTTAACTACAGAAAAGCAGCTTACATAACAACCAACTGGTCACAAAACAGAGGTTTAAAATAAGCAAGAGCTGTTCATGCTAAGTTAACTTGCTTATTCCCACTAAATCCCTTCAACTCTACTTCGTTTCAATATTTTAGTTCTTCAATGTTTCCATTTTATTATTTTAATGGGTCCTGTAAAATATTCCTTTGATAATTTGATTGGTATAGCATTATGAATGTAAATTAACTTTGGTTGTCATTTTCATTATTGTGGCATGGCCCATATTCCTCTACTTACTTAAGTTATTTCTCATTTATTTCTAGTATGCTTGATGATTCCCTAGGATTTCCTAAGTAAACCATCATGTCATTAGCAAACAGGGATACCTGCCCTTATTCCTTTAATTTCTTTCTCATCATATTGCTATTCCTACTATTGTTAGAACTATATCAAACAATAGTGGGGAGAGTGGGCATCCTTGCTTTACTCACATATTTTTGACAAAGGTTCTAGAGTATCCCATTGCCTATGACGTTTTTTTTTGTTTCAGATATACATTTTTATATTAATACAAAATTATTTCTGCCTATACTTTGTAGGAGTTTTTACCATAGACAAAAATCTTGTATTCATTCTACTTTGAGATGCAACATATACAAAAATGAACAAACCCAAAGCGACTTGATGAGGGCAAAAGAACCAATTTCTATTTGATTTCTCCATTTGCCCTTGTCTCCTTGTGTACTTTTCAAAAGGAATTTCTTGTTGTTGTTGTTGTTGTTGTTTTTCTCTTACCCAGCCTCTTCTCTCCAAGGAAATGGCCATGATTCCAGCTCAGGCTTTTCTCATCTCTTAACCCAGTCTTAGTAATATGCTGTAACTGATCTTCTTGTTCTCCCTCTTGCAAGTTCAGCCTCTCCAAAGCTGCTAAAACAACCTTCCTGAGTCACACTTTTGACCACGTCATTTCTTTGTTGACAGTTGATATATTATATTTAGGATAAAATGTAAACTCTTAAGCTTAGTGTTAACATTCTTTTACAATTCAGATCCAAACTGATCATCAACCCTTATCCTACATTAGTTTCCTTCTTGGGATCTTTTTTTTTCATCCAAATTTGACTATTGGCAAATTCTTCAAATTTCGCATTCTATGCCTTGCCTCTATAACTTTACAGAGATTGTGCCTCATTCCTGGAACACAAAATGCCTCCCATTTCTGTCTACTGACATCTGTAGTTTCCTTCAAGGTTCATGTAATCTTCCTTTTATTAAACCTCCTCCAGCTGATTCTCTCATCAAATTATCTTTAGTGTACTCATTGTATGCATGTTGCATCTCACCAGGAAAAAGAGCACAAGATCTCTGAAGACAGGGACTGTTGTCTTTTTATTATTATTATTTCCCCACTGTCTGGTACAGAGTCTTGGACAGAGTGGATTCTTAATCATTGTTAAATTGGTTACTAAATTGCAGACATGGACAATTGTGTGAAGTGCCCAGAAGATCAATATCCAAACCTCCCAAAGGTAGTAACCTTCCTCCATGTCCAAGAACCTTTGGGATGGACTCTGACCTGCATGGCTCTCTGCTTCTCTCTCCTCACAGTCCTCACCCTTATTATCTTTGTGAAGCATCAAGATACTCCCATCATCAAAGCCAATAACCAGGTTCTCAGCTACACACTTCTCATCTCTCTCATCTTTTGCTTCCTCTGTTCTTTGCTTTTCATTGGTCGTCCTACTACAGCAACCTGCCTTCTTCAGCAAACAATATTTGGAGTCGTGTTCACAGTGGCAGTTTCTTCTATTTTGGCCAAAACCATTATGGTGTTTCTGGCTTTTAAGGCCACAAGACCAGGCAGCAGGATGAGAATGTGGGTGCAGCCTAAAGTGTCCAAGTCATTCTCTGTGGGCTCTGGTTGGGGACCTCACCTCCCTTCTTAGGTACAGACATTCACTCTGAATCTGACCACATCATCATTGAGTGTAAGGAGGGCTCTGTCATTGCCTTCTACTGTGTCCTGGGCTACATTGGGATCCTAGCCCTGGGCAGCTTCATGGTGGCTTTCCTGGTCAGGAACCTTCCCGACACCTTTAATGAAGCCAAGTTCATCACCTTTAGCCTGCTGGTCTTCTGCAGTGTGTGGGTTTCTTTCCTCCCCACATACCAGAGTTCCAAGGGGAAGGCCATGGTGGCCATGAAGATCTTCGCCATCTTGGCCTCTAGTGCTGGGTTACTGGGCTGCATCTTTATTCCCAAGTGCTATGTGATCCTGCTAAGGCCAGAAAGGAACACACTAGAAAGGTTAAGGAATAAAGCAGGTTCTAGAGCCAGGAACTTTGCCCCAGAGGCTCTTCCAGGGGCATGAGAAATACTGGATAAAACATCTACATTAGCCATAAATAGCTATAATTTAATATCTTGGTGATACTGCCCCTTCCCTGGCTGCACTAGTTAAGTCCTCCTCCTCACTTTTCCCACTGCTCTTAATGGAATATTAACCTTCAGATTCAGCCCTTAGATTTCAAAGTGCAATAAGCAAGGATCTTGTTCTCTTCTTTCTATAGGATCGGGCCATCCTTGGGGTCTTCCAGGGGTTATTGCTTACTATCTAAACCCACCTTGCTTCATTTATTCATCACCTCTTGTCTGAGTTCGTGACTGATAGAGACTTCCTCCCTCCTGCCTCTGCCCCCATTTTAAGGACTCAATTCCATACACAAGTAGTTTTTCTATTCTTTTTCCCTGTATACAGTGGTAGCCAGAGTCTAGAAACATGACCTTGAGTCTTACAGACAATGTAAACTACCTTGAGTAAATATAAATAGCAAAAGAAGCCCCAACTAACCCACGGGAAAGTTTGCATGTGACCCTGGGCCATCCCGGGCAATATGCCTTCTTTGTTCTGTTTCTATGTAATATCTGGCCTGGCCCAGGGCTGGTGCAGAGATCTACAATGTTACTTTGTCCTGCTACCACCCAGGACAACTGGCCTCTTGTGAGTATACTCCCCTAATCAATCCTAATAAAACAGATTAATAACCAAGTCAGTATAAGCCACTTTTCCTTTGGTATCTCAGTATTCTCTTGGAGGATATGCCACCTTACAATTGGCATATTTGGGCAGAACAGATCTACCCCCTTAAATCTGGCATAGTTGGCAGGATACCAAATAAATGGGCTTGCAGAGTTTCTTCCACAGGCAGAATCCCAGCCATCCTCATCCCCGAGGGATAGTTGGCATGTCTGCCAGAGGGGAAGCTCAGCTTGGCCACCCACTTCCAAATGGATGTGGGAGGGATGGTCTGAGCAGCAAGAATACAGGAATGTCCAGAAAATGCACATTGGCTTGTGCTGTGATAGGCTTCCATGGGAGGGTGGGGCAGGAGAGAAGAATCCCGTATGATGCCTGCCATTTGTCTTGCTTAATGGAAGATTTACAGCCTATGTAAAGATAACTTTCAGCACTGTTAAGAAAGACCTTGAAATGGCAATTGCTCTAATTATGAAAGGATAAAAGAACAGAGTCTCTCTCTCCCCCTCCCTCCCTCCCTCCCTCCTCCCTCCCTCTCTCTCTCTCTCTCTCTCTCTCTCTCTCTCTCTCTCTCTCTCTCTCTCTCTCTCTCTCCTCCCCCCCTTCTGACTGTGTGCATCACACAGACAGGAGAGAGGCAGAGAAGGAAAAACTCAGTGAATGAAGATTATTTGGGCTATGATTAATAAAAGAAGTGTCAGATAAGAATATGCAAGAAACAAGACAGGTGCAATTTTAAGAGGGTAATAATTTTTTAAGCTGTATGTATCTATATGTGTGTGTGATAGTATAGCCTCTGGAGACATCTAGTAAGGCAAGGAGAAGTAATTTTTAATATTGAGGCCACTGTCTCATAGTTTCTAGTCTGTTTGTTTGTTTTTTGGTCCCTGTTTGTGTGGCTCTCAGAGTCCATAATTGTGTGCACAGAGTTTAGAAGGAAAAAAACTTTGCTGGCAAATCTGTCTGTCTTGTTAACTAATGTGAACCCCTGTAAGTTTTCAGAAAGATTCTTTCTCTTCCTTTATATTCCTAAATAGTGGCCAGGTTCTGGAATGTAGGACAGATGAGGAAAAAAAAAACAGAAGAGAAACCTTTTCCCCTCAGACCCACATAATGGTTTGAATGTTTTTCCTAAATATTGAAAATAAGTGCTAGCCAGTCATTTGGTTTATATTCTTTTTTTTTTTCGCCTTTTTTTTTTTTGGTGAGGCAATTGGGGTTAAGTGACTTGCCCAGGGTCACACAGCTAGTAAGTGTCATGTGTCTGAGACTGGATTTGAACTCACGTCCTCCTGACTCCAAGGCCAGAGCTCTATCCACTGCGTCACCTAGCTGCCCCTGTTAATATTCTTTAGAATTTGTTTTAAGGAAATTAAGAGCATTTCCCTCCCACCCTCAACCCCCAGAATGACAGATTTGTTAAGAGATGAAGGTCATGTTACTGATTACAGAGAGAGAGGTTTGGAGGCAGTGCCAGTGAAGTTTCAGAGGGGAAAAAAAACCCAACTAGACCTGGCACTTTAAAACTGCCTGCTTATATTAACTCCTTCCTGGAGAGAGAGAGAGAGAGAGAGAGAGAGAGAGAGAGAGAGAGAGAGAGAGAGAGAGAGAGAGAGAGAGAGAGAGAGAGAGAGACAGAGAGAGAGAGAGAGAGAGAGAGAGAGAAGTTTGTGTTAACTGGGAAACAACCAAAAAGTAATTGAGTTTGATTGGAACATCTAGTTAGATATTAAGGCAGTCTTACAAACTAAAGTTAAATACTACTTAATTTAAAAATAACTTTTTTAATTGATTTGTGTTGAAATTAGAAACTTCACTATAAATTATGTGAGATTCCTACTCATTTTCATAATACATTATGTTCAGTTTGAATTTTGAGAACTGTCTTGCTTTCTCCCTATAAAAAGTGAAATTTATTTAAGGGAACAGAAGGGGCAAACCCGAGCCCCCTGAGAATGCCCAGATAGATGAGCTGTTTTACATTGGGAAGAATCCTACCAGTTACGTCCATTAATGAGTAATAAGATTCTGTAAGGACTAGAAAAATTATGAGGAAAAAAGAATAAATTATTAATTACTGTGTGAGGAAAAGGCACAAAGAAAACACCTTTTAGAATCCCCTTTATATGTAGCTTGCAAGGCTTCTTGAAACCATTTGTTTGGGCAAGGTCATCAGCCCTGGGAAGATAAGCCACTTAGGGGTTATGGAATTTCTACACAATGAAATTAGACTACTGAGAATTTACCAGTTTGTTTATAGAAGTGATTTCTAATTATTGATCTTTATACCAGGATGACTTTAAATTTGGAGAAGAAAAACAAGTGAAGGATGTTTAGTGAAATCTCTTATGTGTGTGGGAGTCCTGGTAAACTTTATTGCTTACTGCAACACCATGAGTGAAAATAACTGAATTCGACCCTAAGTTGTGATGGGTGAAACTTGTCATTTTAGGTAAAAGCTCTTGGGACTGTAATCGATCTTGGTTTTAAGTTTCAAATTCAGGTATAGTTGTCTGATGGGATCATTAAGTCAGTAATCCACCATTCAAGAGAAATGCCATAAGATACTCAGAGAGAGCATGATCCTGAATTGTTACAGGTGGGGAGGTCTGTATCTTGGAACAGGCTGAGAGGATGACCTTGAGAGGGCAAAGTTAGAACTCCCCTGACTCAGTTTTCCCATTGTGTTACTTCCTTTTGAACAGGAATGTTTCCCACCTGATTATACTTGAGTCTGGCTATAAGGTGGAATTTTTACTACATAATTGGTTTTCAACAGTGACTCTTACCTGGAATCAAACAGAGCTAAAGACGTCTTATCCTAGCATGCATGTGTTGAGTCATTCTGGGCCTTTAAGCTTAGGCCTGAAGTACTAGTTTTGATGTTATGATCATTTTCCACTTTTTCCTTTTATAGCAAGTTTCTATATTCTGAGCAGGTGGTCATTAAAAGATATGAGTACAATGCAAATATGTAGGATCTTATTGTTTTCAATATGAATGTGTAGTCATTCCATATTCCAAACTACTAAACAAATTAGTATTTGGGTTTTGTCATCTACCTGCTAATAGTTATATGGTCATATATAAGATTAAATCCCTGAAACATCTCATTTTTTTTTCAGAATGCTATGGGAGTAATTGACAAAGGTTAAAAAGTTTGTGAGACAAAGATACGAATCTATTAATTTACAAGGTTAAAGTCAGAGACATCTTCTGTTTCATTTTAAGGAATAGAATTTCATTGCAATCAGTCACCTTAGTGGAGAATAATATTTGAGTAACATCTATTTCTTTTGAATATGGTTATCAACTCAACATGTTCTACTACAGGCAACTTATCTGATATACACTGTTTTCTGTATACAAGTGGGAATTAATTACTTAAGTGTATCTATACATCTCCTTCAAGGTCTTTTGTTACAAGTGGAGTAAGGGCAGCCTCTTGTAAGAAAATTCATTTGTTAAAACATGCAACAATTTGATTACAAGAGCAACCATTATATTGACCCAAGACAGATCTGCAAATGCAATATATGCTAAAACATTTAACAAATATTCAAATTGTAACATGTTTTAATATTTGATCTGATCTTTCTCCATTCAGTAATGAGTGGGCTTATACAGATGAGTAATTTACATGACAGTAATTAGAAAAAAGAATAGACCCAGTCAGGTACCTGTAGTAAATATTGTTAAGGATAGATTCATCATTGGACAATTCTTTCTGGTGTATTCTTATTTGGTGTAAATGATTTAGTACTGGTTTTTACCCACTCATTACAACTTTTGATTTTCTGACTCTTTCTCCCCATAATTTTTAATGAAGTAAAAATGTTAAGAAACTGATGTTTGAAATTAAAATACAGATAGAACGGAAATGACTCATTTCTAGTTTTTTATGGTATAACTGAGTCAAAATTTTTAAAAATTAGGGGATGTTTGAGTAGTTTGAAATAACCACTTTTTGTAGTGTTTGTTAAATTGGGAAAGATGGGCTCTGAAACTCAAAATATTTTTATATCTATGCCAAATCTCTGTGAAATAAATGTAAAGAAAATGTAAGTCTTCTCATGAATTGTATAAAGTAAATGATGTAAAAGTTTTTTTAAATTTTCTGTATATTTCATATTTATTGTATATCCATAAAATACATGAAAATGTAGGTCTATCCTATTAAAAAAAGAAAAAAAAAGAAAACTCATTTGTGAACCTAGGGGTGGAAAGTCTCTACCTACCAAAAGTGTTGTTACCTATATTTTCACATATAGGATTAGATTCTCAATAGCATCTGATCCTTCTAAAGGAACTGCAATTAACTGGAAAATTTTTGAGAAAGCAACAAGCTCAGATGTCACATGTAAATGATTCTAATGGTGCATGTAAAAGCCTAAGTTCTCCAAAGTTTCAAGTGAACTACGGGTTCCTAATTTGATGTCCCCTTACAGCACTTTTGTTCATAAGATCAGAATGATAA